TGTTGCGTCTTGACAATCCTGAATCCTGCTGCCCTCTGGAAAACCACTCGCCCTCAACCCGTGGAGCCCTTTCAATTTTTTAAAAAGAAATATGCGCGGGGCTAAGGCGAGAGCCATATTCTGAAAACCACCCGCCGTCAATCCGTGAAACTGATGTTAATTTCTTAGCTTCAGGGTCCTAAGTCCTTCAGATCCACATGGGGGTGGCGGAGACGAGAGGGGCGATCAAACTGCCGCGGAGTGAGCCAAGGGGCCCTCAAAACGCAACCAAACGCTTTCACAACACAACCAAGCCTACGCGGCTGCACAACAGTAGCGGTCTCAATTGATCTGAACCAGACGACTTTCTTTGTTTCAATGTGTCTCAGAGTTTCTCGCCAGACGAACCTCTTTGTTTCAATTTCTCTCAATTTCGGTCGCCCCACGATATTATATTCCAATTTCCCCCAATTCCTTTCACAATCTCTCAAATCTTCCCACTTCTCCTCAATTTAGATTACTATCAGACATCACTACTACACCTGATTTTCTTGAGGGGCCGTTGCTCTTTCAAAAAACCTTTTCGCGATGTCCCCAGGCACGCTCAACTTTCACCCCCTTCGTCGACGCCACCCCCATGTGGATCCGCATGATTCAATGGTGAGGAAGTCTCAGGCGAAACACCCGGGGTGCGACAGGGAGGAGTTATGTATAAGGAAAATAATGGATGGGAGGAAGAGGAGGAGGAGGAGGAGGAGGAGGAGGAGGAGGAGGAGGAGGAAGAGGAGGAGGAGGAGGAGTAGGATTCGGAGGAGGAGGTGGAGGAGGAGGAGGAGGAGGAGGAGGAGGACGAGGACGAGGAGGAGGAGGAGGAGGAGGAGGAGGAGGAGAAGAACTCAGTGCCCGCAAAACGCCACGGTCTCAGCGTTTCGGCGTGGACGGTGCGGAAGCCTCGATCGCGGGGATTAACGCGGCCCTCGAGAAGGCGGCCGAGCTGGGCGCCAACCAGTGCGTCGCTGGCTTTGGATCGCGGCCGGCTGGCGGAGGCTCCGCGATCCCCACACGATGGCCTTGCTGGTAAGGGTTCTTGGAGGCTTTCATTGTTCGGGGGTCGTTGCAGGTGCTGTGCCCTTCATGCCCTCCAAGATGCTTTCCCAGAAGCCATCGCGAAAGGCCTTCTGAGATCCCCCCCTCGCTTTCGAGAATACCGCCCCCCTCTCCCTGGTCCCTTGTGGTCGCCGCCAGATATCTTTTGTGATTCTTCTCTGTGGCATCGCCGTGTCGCCATGGCGATGCGTGGCCCGAAAGGGCTGGTCAGGACCGTGCCCAGGCAGGGCTCCAGGATCGACTTTGGGCGGGTGCAGCCGGCGGCGGGCCCAGGGGTCTGGGACCTTGGCGCGCGCATGCGGGAGCTCCGCCCCTTGGCAGACGTGGTGTGGTGAGGGGTGGCTCGTATCACGTCGGCTCTTTGTACGCAGAAGGCCCACAGACACGCCTGGCAGGGGGTCCGTTCCGGGCCCTAGGATGGAGAATCGGCCCTCCTGGTATCGGCTAAGAGGGCGGCGTATGCACCATGCCAGGGCGAAGGATGGCCCTGGTCAGCCATGTTGGTGGTGTCCAGATTCCTTCAGCGTATTCCTTCACATCCCCTTGCTCTCGCGCTTCCTGCATGCTTCTTCGATTACTTGTTTTGGGGCGTAGCGTTCGGATCGGACAAGCGGTGCAGCGTCACCACCTATGGCTGACCAAAAGCGAGCGCGTGGGAGCCTGCACCGAAGGTCATTGGAATGCCTCACCGTGGCCGCCTCAACGTGCTTACGAACGTGGTCGCGAAGCCGCTGGTGCAGATGTTCGCCGAGTTCAAAGGTAGGGATCAGATAGGGGGAGAAATGCGAGGAGTGGGGTAAACAGAACACAGGTAGCTAGTGACCTCGCACAGGTCATGGGGAACGTCGCGGCATTGGACCGTCGAGAGTTACACAGTGCATGCGCAATTCGGTAGGTGGTTCCCAGGGAGATGGGGCCGCGGCCTCTTCAACGGATGGAAATCATACAGATGAGGGTTAGAGCCGCTGCGGTGCCCACCGTCGTGTCGTGGAAGGGAAGTTGCGAACGGAGTGTGCATTTCAGAAGTGAATCACGCATTTCGGAGTTGGGGACGTCCGCGCCCCTTTGTGATCCGTTCTGGGATGACATGCAGTGTTTAGAACTGCTCGAAAGAAACACCTCCGACGAGCATAAGTTCCATCACCTGCAGAGACGCGGATCGGCGTGGGAGGGTGTTGCAGTGTCGAAACTTGCGAACTAAGAAGAAATCTCGCAGGAGGTACAGGCTTGTAACAAGGGCAACGGCGGCCTGACTCATGTCGTTTTGGTGCAATGTACGAGGAGCACGGGGGAATCATGCGAGGACGAAGGGGAAAGAGGAGGGAGGAGGAGGACGAAGGCTCGATTTGGTCCTGCAGTGGACGATTGCAATTCTGAGTGCACGGCAATGAAGGGACGACGAAGCACGGATTTAGTGTCTTAGTGTAGATCGAGCGCGACCTTCACGTACCTTCGGTGCAAGGCAGGCACGAAGGCATACCAAAGACGATGCTGGAGTGCCTCTGACTTAGTCAGCCACAGGGTCTGAGGTCCAGGCTGGAGTAGCGCCAACTTCTAGACTGCCTCAGGTGCCAGCCTGAGACGTGCAGCACGGCAGCGTATTTGAATTGATAACAGACTGGTCAAGCTTGCAGCGCCAGAATAGTCACCACCACAGCATGTTGCTCGAATCTTGCAGGGGGGGCACAAGAGACCCAGTCAAAGTACGAAGGTTCCGTACTTTGTTGTCTTCTGTGAAAGAAGGTGTGAGGCGGTTGAACCCCTCGCTGCTAGGTCCCTGGAGGTAACCCAGCGGTTGCCCTAGAGCTGGCTATCCTTGGCTAAGCTATGCTGGGCTATGCAATGGGCTGCAATGCATTGCTGTGCTATCTAGTGCTCTGCAATGCTATGCCAGGCTTTGCAATGCAGTGCAAGGATATGATACGCCACGTTATGCGTAGCGATGCCATGGGATGATATGGTATATAGTGCAGTGCTAGGCATTGCGATACTGGGCTGCGGTATACAATGTTATTTATATAGCGTGACGTGTTAGGCACTGCAATACTGTGCTACGCTATGGTATGCAACGCTGTGCGCTGCTATGTACCGGTGCACTGCTATGTCAAGGTGCGCTGTCCTGGTATGATTTACCACGCGTTGCAATACTACTTATGCCGTATTTGGTTGTGTCTTACCATGCCATGTTGTGCGAGCGATGCAGTGCAAGCTACGTGCAGTGCTGTGCCGTGCTATACACTGTGATGCCATGATATAGGATGCTGTGATGTGCCATGCCATTATATGCTAAACTGTGTTGTGCTGGTCAGTGCTTCCACGTTCGGCGTTCAGGATCTGAGGCGGCCATAAACGACAATCACCTGGAGAGCTCGCTAAATTTCTAAGATCACACTCTTACCAGACAGTGGAATGTGGAACATTTGGCAGATACCCATCAACAAGAGGACGATTAGGAGCACATCTACGGTCCACTTGTTCCGCCTGAAACTTCTCTCAATCGGGCCACATGCTTCGAGGAGACCAGAATGACCTGGAGAAGACGGCAAGATTACGAAGCTTTTTCTTTGCCGCGGGGGGCGCCTCTCACCGTGAACAGTGGGTGCTGACATCCATCATGCTGTGCGCCCCCAAGGCCGACATGTAATAGCCTAGGCGCCAGCAGAACTTACCTGTTTAGGGGCCTCAGACATTCCGTATCATAGGGCTCAGTCCGATCAGAAGCTTTTCGTGGCATTGGAATCGTGTGTAGCGGGGAAGCCGCAACTTTCCCGCTGGAGATTTCAATACAGCTGCACGCGACAACATTTGTATGTAGCGTAATGGTTGTTGCATTGTTGACGTGGCCACAGCATTTCACCGTTTACACGACTTCAGTTTTACAGCCAGGATGGGAATTAAAGCCTTCCAATGTACCAGCAGCCACCTTACTTCCACCCATTCGCTATCTATGGAGGAGTCGCGGCGGCCTTACCATAGTGCCGCCTCACTCCTGCATGACTCACAACTACACGATGGCCTCATATCTGTAGTCGCCTGTCTCCCCATGGATGCCCATGTTTCTGCCTCACACTTGCTGCTCGAAGCTCCGCGCGCCGCCAGCCCAAGATACTCCGTACACGCACCGTGGGCACCCGGAGACCCCCAAACAGCTCCAGAGGCCTCCCGAGGGCTCCCGAGGCCTCTGGAGGCCCGGAGGCTTCCGCAGGCCTCGGGAGTCTTCTGGAGGTCTGACAGGCCCAGGCCGTGCGGACACCTGGAGGAGGAGCGGGGGGAGGAAGTGGGTGCAGGCTGGAGGAGGAGGAGGAGGAGGAGGAGGAGGAGGAGGAGGGAGGAGGAGAAAGGAGAAGGAGGAGGAGGAGGAGGAGGAAGGAGGAGGGAGGAGGGAGGAGGATGAGGAGGACGCTCTCGTGGCTGCCCCCAGCGGCCGCCCGCGAGCTCGTGGCGCGGCGGCGGACAGGCACGCACTACGACTTCGACAAACTGCTGGAGGAGTCCCAGGAGAACGACTGGCTCTACGCCGGCGACCCTGCTGCCGGGGCTCGGCCAGAGTTCGGGGCGGGGATCGGCCCGACCGTTTTCAGGGCCTCCTCCCGCTCCTGCTCCTGCTTCTTGACCTTCTGCTGCTCGCCGTCGTGGTCGTGGTCGTGGTCGTCGTCGTCGTCGTGCTCTGCCGCCTCCGCGGTCTGCTGGATGATGGGCGAGCCAGTCTGTGTGATTCGTAGTCTTCTGTTTTCACATCCTGGTGGGAAGCCCGACCTGGCGTACCTGCCCAGCTTACGCAACCGGTTCTACCTGGCTTGCTGGGCTTGTTGTGTGTCTGCGGGCTTGCAGGATTAATCGGTGGGCACGCATACATGGATGGGTGCAGCATGTCGATCGTTACGCAAATTGTGTGCAGTCCATCAGACGATGTCCAGTCACCCTTGCCTTACTAGCTTCCTCACTATGTCTATGGTTTTACTCAAGCTGCATGCTCGCACACTTTGTTGGCCATTCCCTCAGATTTTCGGATTGACCTGTCTAGTTTTCAAGCAGATGTACGTTAGCTTAACTTGGCTTGCTGGGGTCAGCTGCCAGAGCCACTGCGTCCGTATGAGAATAACGAGTCGTACGGTGCTGAATATAGTTAGGCATTCCGATTTGCACAAGATGTGGAGGGTAGTTGGACCAAGGTCTTCGATCGTGCGCTTTCGCCGCTAAAACTTCAATCACATTATCGGAAGCAAGCGGCTCTTAGCCAGAGCATTGGTCGACAGCCGAGCGATGTTCCACCCGCTATCGAAGCTCGCATTGTTGCCCCATGTGTTTTCGAGTGTGCTACCAGACACGGGTGTTTTGGCGAGTAACTACAATATCGGGTAGCGAATGTAGCACGTACTCTTCGTGCGTTTCCATCATCCCTCCAAGTCTGTCTGGCCTCACTCACATTCCTGCTCCCCAGGCGACGTGAAGTACCATCTGGGGACCTCGAACGTGCGCACCTTCGAGAACGGGAAGTCCATGACGGTGACATTAGAGGACGGTGCTTTCGATGTTTTCTCCCGCCTCCTCTTCGAAACCTTAATTAGAGCAGGGCAAATCTCTGGTTATCAGCAGACAGAGGCTTGGATTCGGGTGCTACTTAAAGGCCGTCATGGTGCCTATTTTCTCACTTGGGGTATCTATTGGTTGCGAGATGCTGCTATGACACGCAAGGACTAGCCTCACTCTGCCAGGGCACTGGACAGGACAAGCTACGCAAGGACAGTCGAACCTTGATGGCTACTCAGCAAGCGCTGGACAAACAGATTAAGAAGGACCTAGTGGCTACAGATTTAGCAAGGACCTGGAACATACACATTACCAGTGGCGGGCTGTTTTTCAATCCCGGGACTTTTGGAGGTTCGGTGGCGACGTTGGGGTGGTGTGGTGTTTTCTTTAAGTGCGGGGCCAGAAGAAGCGTCGGTGTGGTGGGTGGACTTCGGTGCGGGGCCAGACAAGCGTCGGTGTATGGAGTTCGGCTCCCTATGGAGGCCTCACCGGGGCCGCCTTGGGGCTGCTCCGGCGTGCTTTTGGGCAGCATCTCCGGCCGTCTCGGGCCCGTCTGGCGCTGCTCTGGGGACCGCTGGGCGTCCTCCGCGGGGCTGGGGTGCAGCAGAGCTAGTGGGCAGGGTTCGCATGTGGCCCCTAAGAGCGAGGGCCAGCACCGGGGAGGGCCCTCGGGACGCGCGGCCCCCGCCCGCCTTCGGGGGGTGGGCCGGCCTGCCGAGGGGGCTCGCTTGCAGGGCGCCTCCCCGGAGGCCGCCTCGGGAGCTCTCGGGGTCCCCTCTTTGGAGAGCTCTCGGGGTCCCCGCTGCTCCTCCGACGCTTCCCACGGGTTCGGTAGCAAGTCATGGGAGGCTTCGTGTGCCCTCGTAGTTCTGTCTTTGGCGTCGAGTAGCGTCGAAGTGGCGTCTGGGAGTCGATGAGGTGTGGCGATTTGGCGTCGGTTCGCGTCGATTAGCGTCGATTCAGCGTCGGTTAGCGCCGCTTAGCGTCGATTTAACGTCGATTAGCGTCGATTAGCGTCGGTTCGCAAGGGACGGCAAGATGGTATGGGAGGCTCCCATGAGTTGCCACCGAACACTGGCCTGGCCGTCCACCGACAGGGCGTTCTTCCCTCTGCTGGGCTTGGCGGCTGACGTTTGCGTGGGCGTCTGTCGAGTTTCGCAAGCGTTCTTTGTTGCCGGGCATCTCGCAGAGTTTTGGCTCTGCTGGTGCCTGCTGGATTCTGTCGAGTGCTCCTGTGTCCTGCGTGCTCTTTGATCCCGCCCGCAGCGCCAACGACTGACGTCTTATCTCTGGTGCAGCACTCCTCTCCCGCTGCCTTTGCTCGAGGCAAACCCCTCGCACCTGGAGACCGTCAACACGGTGACCTTGGGGCGCACGCGCGCCAAGCAGTACTACCTCGGAAACACGGAGGACTCACGCAAGGACCCAACGGGAGCAGTGGACAGTATGTTAATGATGGCGAGGACGGCGTTGCTGCTGATGCTGCGGTTGCTGCTGATCATGGTGATGATCGTGATGATGATGGTGATGATGATAATCATGATGCCGATGCTGGTACTGATGCTGATGATGATGCTGATGCTGAGGCTGATGCTGATGGTGATTGTGATGATCATGGTGGTGGTGATGGTTATGATGCTTGTGATGATTGTGGTGGTGATGATGAGGACGATTATCATGACGATGCTGATGTTGATGCTGATGATGCTGCTGCTGATGACGATGATGATGCAAATTATGATGATGATGATGATGATGATGATGATGATGATGATGATGATGATGATGATGATGATGATGATGATGATGATGATGATGATGATGATGATGATGATGATGATGATGATGATGATGATGATGATGATGATGATGTGACGACGACGA